TCGCTCAGGTCCAGGAAGCTGCAGCTCATGGACGACGAAGGCATCGAGGCCATGATCGGCCTAATTGACGTGATCGAGCAGAGGTGCGAGTGGCCCGATTTCGTCACCAAGATGGCCTTCATCCCCAAGACGGACGGAGGACTTCGCCCTATCGCGCTGCTGGGGGCTCTCGTGCGCATACACGGAAGGTTGCGGCGGCCAGTCGCGAAGCAGTGGGAGCGACAGCATGACAGGCCCTACTGGTGGGCCAGCGCTGGCAAGAGCTGCGACAGAGCCGTGGCAACAGCAGGCCCGGGCCGAGTGGGTCCACATGATGGGCGCGCTCTACGAGCAGCACGACTGGGCTTCGGCTTCGATCCTCCTCGACCTCTGGAAGGCTTTCGAGCAGATTCTACACGTCCAGCTCCTGAAGGCCTGCCAGGCCCACAACTTCCCGCTCTGGCTGGCCAAGCTGCAGATCAACCTGTACAGGTTGCCCCGCGTAGTCTGCCTGGGGGGTTGCTGCTCAGACGAGCTGGTGGTGATGCAGGCGGCGCTGGCAGGCGACGCGTTCGCCACTACTTTCATGAAGGTGATGCTCCTCACTCCATTGGACACGATGGCGATCAAGCATCACGCTGTGGTTCCCGCAGTAGTCGTGGACGACCTGGCGATGCAGCGCCGGGGCGGGACCAGCAAAGTCGAGAAGGACCTGATTGCCAGCACCGAGCTCTTGGTCAAGGAGCTAAGCAAGGTGAAGCTCAAGGTCGCGACGAAGAAGTCCAGGATCCTCGCGAGCAGTGCCAAGCTGAGGAAAGGGCCCCAGGCCAAGCTCATCAAGGCTTGCGGTGCTGTTGCAGTGTCGAATGTACGCAACCTTGGAGTCGACCATGCTGAAGGTGGGCGGCGTGCCAGTGCGGCGCGGAAGCTGCGCATGGCCAACGCCAAGGCGCGGCTCCCTCGCATCAAACGACTTCTGGGGCTACGGCGAGGCCGAGCCGCAGCGGCTAAGGTCGCGTTCACAGGCCTTATGCCCAGCATCATGTATGGAGTTTCGTGCACTGGGATGTCTGACAGCGAGCTCAAGCACACCAGGGCGCTAGTAGTCAAGGCCATAGAGCCAAGACCGCAGGGCAAGTCCGCCACTGGTTGCCTCGTCTTCGGCGGGCCGGGCGACATCGACCCGATGTATGGCGCTGCCTTGGCGCCTGTTTGCACCCTCGCATGTGCGCTATGGGAAGGCTGGATCCCTGCAAGTGTGCTCGAGTCGACTTTCGACGGCTTCGCGAGGCACGCGCGCACATGGAGCGAGGTCCGAGGGCCAATCTCTGCGGCAGCCCTGACGCTAAGGCCTATAGGCTACGACGTGCGCAGCTTCGACCAGTGGCTCAGGCACAACACTTGCGAGGCCATAAACATCACATGCTCTTCGCCATGGTACATCAAGCAGGTGCTACGCAAGGACGTGCAGGCCTGGCAGCTACGACAGCTAGCGGCCGACACGCACGAGGGCATCATCAACGGCGCCTTCGTCCCACATTTGCGCAGGTGGCTCAGCACAGGCAAAGCCTCCACTGCTGAGGGCCGCAGGTGGAAGCCGCTGGACGAACAGCCGATGGGCTACATGAGGTCGCTACTGGTGCACGGGCAGTGGCTCAACCAGCGACGGTACGAAGCAGCGGCGCGACTCGCTCCTACGCCGCATTGTGCGCTACATCCGAACGCTCTGGGCACCCTGCGGCACCGTCACCTGGAGCGCCGCGAGAGTTGGCACAGTTTCGAGATACCAGAGGAGCTGGTAAAGTTCAAGCAGTTCGAGTCCAGTGTCACTATCAAGATGCTGTTCGAGCGGCTCCTGCTGCCCGAGCCCAGCCACGATCGGCGCCCCCCGCAGGACGACCTGCTTCAGGGGCTGCGGTGGCTCAAAGGAGATGCCGACCCGTTCGCCAGCACCGAAGTGTTTGCCGACGGATGTTGCTACGAGGCTGGCACTTCGCTGGCGATGGCAGGGCGCGCAGTGGTCGAGCTACCGACTGGGCCAGAAGGAGAAGACCCAGGCAAGGGATCTTGCGTCAAGGCCATGGGCGCCCCTTTACCTGGGCCGATCCAGTCGATCGACGGAGCCGAGCTGCTCGCGCTCTACGCAATACTCAGGCACTCGCCCCCTCCCACCACGGCCCACTTTGACGCCGACTACGTGGTCAAGGGCTTGACGAAGAGAGGACGCGAGGCCACTACCTCACATACGTCCGCTTGGGGGGAGATCTGGCGCAGGATTTGGCAGGCGCTGGACGACTTCGGCGACCTCAGCAGCGACGGTCTCACGGCGCGGAAGGTCAAGGGCCACGCGTCCTTCAAGGAGGTGGACGAGGGCAAGATCACACTACGACGTCGGCGAGGCAACTACGAATCTGACCGCGCGGCGAAGTTCGTCACGGACCATTTCCGAGCGCCAGAGCAGGTGCGTGAGGCCAGAAGAACCAGAGCGCTCACCCTGGACGGCGCGGCCTTCTGGGCGTCGCAGGCTGGCGCCGGAGCTGCTGACCTCAGGATGGACTTTCGCGACAAGTACAGGGGGCCTGAGACCAGGGGCCCCAGGCTTTACATCACCAAGCACGAGCTGGTCAATATCGCGGGCGGAGCCGAGGGCGCCCAGGCGCTCCACTGCCTGCGGTGCCTGCGGTCGGCCTTCACCGACATCTCGACCAAGAACCTCCCAAGGCAGAGCTGCACGCCGAAGGCCTTTGCTCCTGACGCCTACACCAGCGGGGGCAAGAAGCGGCCGAGTGCCTCTGCCCTGGCGCATGTTGGCGCCGCCGCAGTGGCGGTAGCAGCAGCACGCCGCTTCGTGGAGGATGAGAGCCATCCCACCCACGACAGTGGGGGGGCGAGCAGCAGCGTGGCGGGCCCCTCCCTCGTACAGCATCGTGGCGTGAGCCAGAGCCTGGGATCCGACGGCGACGGTGACCTGCGTGCTGACGAGGTGCAGCCGTTGGAGAGCTCCCCCCCTTTTCAGCATCGTGGCGAAAGCCAGATTCTGGGATCCGTCGGTGACGGTGACCTGCGTGCTGATGGGGAGCTGCCGACGGCAGGCGACGGGGGCGCTGTGGCCCAGCCTGCTGCGCCGCCGCCTAGCGGCTCTGGCGCGCTCGACGCGGGTGGAGGCGGCCACGACCTTCGCACGTATTTCGGGTACCGCGGCTGCCTGAGGTGTTTCCAGCACGCGAAGGAGGTGAAGGGCAAGCGCAGGGGACTCGGCATGGCTTGCGCCCCAGCGCTCAAGCCCAGCGCCCAGGCCGAACGCAGAAGGAAGGCTGAGAAGATCATGAGAGGAGTGGCTCCTTCGGGGAGGCCACTCGCGTAATGGTGTCGCGGCGGGCTCCACTTCCTCATCTGAGCTGCCGCCCGCGTCGCCTGCTGCGTCGCCGCTGCTCTGCCCTGTCGAGGTGCCGCCGTTTGCGGCGTCTCCAGAGGCGGCCAACAGGGCTGCCGTGTGGCCCGCGGCGCAGAAGCTGGACGTGCGCGCTGCGCGCACTCAGGCTGCTGATTTTTTGTTTTTGTATTGTTTTTTTGTTTAAAAAAAATACATAAAAAAAGTGCGGCCGCCGAGGGCGCAACCTATGGCGCAACCGATGGGGGTCGGTTTTATTCTCGGCCGCCGAGGGCGCAACCTATGGCACACTTGATAGGATTCGGGTTTATTATCAGCCGTCGAGGGCCCGAGGGCGCAACCTAAGATGATACGGTTTTATTCTCGGCCGCCGAGGTGCCAAGATATGAAGGACGGGCAGAAGGCGGAAGAGGAGAAACGAGGACGAGGTCCTGGAGGAGGACGACGAGGAGGAGCTGGATCAGGAGGAAGACGAGGAGGACAAGGAGAACGACGAGAAGGAGGGCGACGATGACAATCAGGATGGGGAAGAGCACGGAGAGGAGTACGAGAAGTATTGGGACGACGTGTGGGTATTTGAATGCGTGCGGGACTACTCCCATTTATGCTCGCCGTTTGGGCTGGCGGTGGGGCCCAAGCGGCGTGTTGTCTTTCGATTTTGATGCTGGTGCTGCTGCTGCTGCTGATTTGAGGAAGAGGATAATGATGATGAGGAGGAGGAGGAGGACATGTTGATGATGATGATGATGATGATGATGATGATGATGATGATGATGCTGATGCTGATCTGATAATGATGCTGAGTATGATGGTGATGCTGATGCTGTTGATGATGCTGCTGATGATGGTGAGGATGCGGATGAGGACGGGGATTTGGATGATGATGGATATGATGATGAGGAGGAGGGGGAGGAGAATGAGGATGATGATGATGGTGATACTGATGCTGATGCTGATGCTGATGATGATAGTGAGGATGATGATGATGAGGATGAGGATGCGGATGCTGCTGCTGATGATGATGATGATCAGTATGACGATACTGATGCTGGTGCTAATGGTGATGGTAATGTTGATGGTGATGGTGATTGCGATAGTGATGGTGATGAGGATGGTAATGATGATGCTGATGATGATGATGATGCTGATGCTGATGGTGATGATGATGATGGTGATGACGATGATGCTGATGCTGATGATGATGATGATGATGATGATGATGCTGATGATGATGATGATGCTGATGCTGATGATGATGATGATGAAGTTGATGGTGATGACGATGATGATGCTGCTGATGATGATGATGATGATGCTGATGCTGATGCTGATGCTGATGATGATGATGATGATGATGATGATGATGGTGGTGATGATGATGATGATGATGATGATGATGATGATGATGATGATGATGATGATGATGATGATGATGATGATGATGATGATGATGATGATGATGATGATGATGATGATGATGATGAGGTGAAGGTTCAGGTGGAGGTGGAGGTGGAGGAGGAGGAGGACGAGGAGGCGGAGGAGGAGGAGGAGGAGGAGGAGGAGGAGGAGGAGGAGGAGGGGCGATGCACTGCTTAGTTTTCAGCCGCGGTGCTCCCTCCCGATTCTCCAGGCGGAGCGGCAGAGGCTCGAAGAGCTCGCGGAGGAGCTAGGCGCGCTCCGCGAGCAGTGCGAGCTGGCCCGGGCCGACCAGACGTCGGCCAGAGAGGAGCCGCGCGCGGTGCTCGGCTTGGCCGGAGTGACCCTTCGGTGCGGGCCCGCAGCGGTCCTCTGAGATCTGTCATGGCACCCCGACGCTACCAGCCGGAAAAGTATTCCGGATTCAACAATAAAATGCGTGGTGGTTTGCTTTGTGGGGGGTCTGTTTGGAGCTGTCTTGGAGGGATCCAGGGGGCTCTTGTCAAAAGGCCGCCCTTTCGCGGCTAGTCTAGGGGAGGTCTAGAATGGCTCGCTTGCGAGGGTTATGACCCTCTCCCTTTTTTTTACGAAACTTGAGTAGGTGACCGACCGAAAGCGTGCCCGAAGTCGTGACCGAAGACGTAGTGCGACCGGGGTTGTGCCCAGACATTTCGGGCACACTCGGGCGTGCGCCAGTGTCGGTCACGCTCGGGCAGACTTTCCGGCACAGCTTCGGCCACGACGCCTCCCTGAGAGACGAGGCTAACTACGTGAGCACTGGCCTGCGCGCTTGGAGTCGGCCCCCCCGCGGCCCCCCGAAGCCGCGCGCCATATGTCACTCTTGCCTTGCGCGTAGCCCCAGGTGCCCGTCTCCTCCCGTTCTGCAGCTGCCGCTGCCCCCCCCGCCCCCCCAGCGGCTGTTGCTGCTGTGCGCACGAGCGATGGGCGCACCTCCGTGCCTACAGCTGCTGCTGCTGTGTGCACGAGCGACGGGCGCACATCCGTGCCCATGCCCTCGCGGTATGGGCACCCGATCTCACGTCGAGCCTTGAGACGGGGGTCATGCGAACGGGGGTCAGCCAGCGCGCCAGATCTTGCAGGATCCTCCACAGCCAGGGGTGCATGGACCCGGGCTTGCGTGCAGGATCCAGCAGGACTCTGCAGGATCTTGCAGGCGCCGCGGCAGTTCTGGCGGAAACGCCAAATCATCGTCCAGCGATGTCTGGCTTTTTCTTTGAATTTTCACAGTGCACCCCGTACGTCGGGGGCGACGATGCACGCTGGTTCTTGAAAGTAGGTATGTTTGAATTCCCCGATTCTGATACTTTTAGTCGTTTTCCTACTTTAAGGATCGAGTGGTCTTCTTATTCCCCAGACAGCTTGCTGAACGGGGTGCTGTTGTGATAGAAGCTAATTCCAGCCGGGGGAAGTCGGAGCAGAGACATCCTCACAAAAATTTGATGGTCCGGGCCGTTTCGCTTGAGACATCTTCACAACTCTCGTTTCTGAGTTGGCCAGGACTGGCCGTTTCGCCTGAGACATCCTCGAAAAGTTGCGCTCCGGGACGCCGCGCGAGAGGTGGTCCGGGCCGTTTCGCTTGAGACATCCTCGAAACTCTGAGCCCCGAGATGCCGTGCGAGAGGTGGTCCGGGCCGTTTCGCCTGAGACATCCTCGAAACTCTGAGCTCGTAGATGCCGCGCGAGAGGTGGTCTGGCCCGTTTCGCCTGAGACTTCCTCTAACTTCTGAGCTCTGAGATGCACTGCGCGAGGTGGTCCGGCCCGTCTCGCCTGAGACATCCTCGCAACTCTGTCTCGCCTGAGACATCCTCGCAACTCTGAGCTCTGAGATGCCGTGCGCAAGGTGGTCCGGCCCGCTTCGCACAAGACATTCTCGCAACTCTGAGCTCCCAGATGCCGCGCAAGAGGTGGTCCAGCCTGGGAGCCCAGAAGACCACATGTTACATATCCTCCCTGGGACCCTGGGAGCCCCAGGAGGCCCCAGAGAGCTCCAGGAGGCCGCAGGACGCCCAGGACAGGCCCCAGGGGTCCGCAGGAGATTCCCAGGAGGCTCCCAGGAGGTCTCAGGAGGCCCCTATCAGAACGTGTCAAGTTAATACAAATCCGGTGTCGATTCGTTGATTTTTCCTGCTCTTGTGCCCCCCCCTCCATTTTGAGAGGCCCAAGCGGCCACTGATTAGATATCCCCCCTGGGAGCCCCAACAGGCTTCAGGAAACCCCAGGTGGAGTTCAGGAGGCCACAGGAGGCCCAGGAGGAAGCCCCAGGAGGTCCCCAGGAGGCCCCAGGAAGCACCAGGAGGCCCCCGCAACTCGAACTCTGAGACGCCGCACTCGAGGTGGTCCGGCCCGTTTCGCCTGAGACTTCCTCGCAGCACCTTTCGCCCGAGACACCGGCCCGTCTCGCCTGAGACATCCTCGCAACTCTGAGCTCTGAGATGCCGTGCGCAAGTTGGTCCGGCCCGTTTCGCACAAGACATTCTCGCAGCTCTGAGCTCCCAGATGCCGCGCAAGAGGTGGTCCAGCCTGGGGGGCCAGAAGACCACATGTTACATATCCCACCTGGGAGCCCCAGGAGGCCCCAGAGAGCTCCAGGAGGCCGCAGGACGCCCAGGACAGGCCCCAGGGGTCCGCAGGAGATTCCCAGGAGGCTCCCAGGAGGCCCCAGGAGGCCCTCTCTATCAGAACGTGTCAAGTTAATAAAAATCCGGTGTAGAGTCGTTGATTTTTTTCTGCTCTTCTGGCCTCCCCCCCATTTTAGGGGGCCCCGACGGCCACATGTTAGATATCCCCCCCTGGGAGCCCCAAGAGGCTTCAGGAAGCACCAGGTGGGGTCCAGGAGGCCACAGGAGGCCCAGGAGGAAGCCCCAGGAGGTCACCAGGAGGCCCCAGGAGGCCCCAGGAGGCCCACGCAACTCGGAGCTCTGAGACGCCGCGCTCGAGGTGTTCCGGCCCGTTTTGCCTGAGACTTCCTCGCAGCACGTTTCGCCCGAGACATCGTCGCAACTCTGGGGTCCGAAATGCCGCGCGCGAGGTGGTCCAGCCCGTTACGCTGGAGACATCCACGCAACTCTGGGCTCCGAGATGCCGTTTGGAATGAAGAGGAGGTGGAGGAGGAGGAGGAGGACAAGTTAGGTGCGCTCGCGTCAACATCTGACATCCTACCCCTCCCTCCCATCCCTTACCATGGCGCTGATTTTCTCTATCCGCGGACGCGTGTCGTAGCGGACCTGTGGCTCCGCGCGCGTGTGCGTAGTGGGTGGTGGTGCGCGTGCGTGCGTGCGTGTGTGCGTGGTTGTGGTTGTTGTGGTGGTGGTGTGTATGTGTGTGTGTGTGCGTGTGTGCGCGTGTGCTGTGGTGTGACGTGGTGTGGCGTCTTGGTGGTTTGGTGGTGGGCCAGGTGCGTGCGTGCGTGATGGCGGTGGTGGCGGTGGTGGTGTGTGTGTGTCTGTGTGTGTGCATGTGCGTGTGCGTGTGTATGTGTGTGTGTGTGTGCGTGCGTGCGTGCGTGTGTGTGTGTGTGTCTGTGTGTGCGCGCGTGTGATGTGGTGTGACGCAGTGTAGCGTGGTGGTGGTGAGTGGGGTAGTGCGGTGGTGGTGGCGGTGCGCAGTGGTGGTGCGCGTGCGTGCGTGCGTGCGCTGGTGGGTGGCAGTGGCGGTGGGTGTGCGTGCGGCGGGGCGGGGCGTGGTGCGGCGCGGTGGTGGCGGGCGGATGGGCGCGCGAGAAAGAGGCCCGCGCTGGGGCGAGAACGCGATCCTGAACGACGGAGGCAAAATACCGATCCGAAAATGAGGCCCACGCTGCAGCGGGAGCACGAGTCGGAACGATTCGGGAGCAGAAATGAGGCCGGCGCCTCAGCGAGAGCAGCATTTTGGGAAAAAAAAACGCAGGCGAAAACCCAACTCCCGGGAATCCTGTGTTAAAACAAAAAAAAAAACAGTACGCGGGGGGGTCCACTACTCCCAGCACGCCATCAGGGGAAGAGGGAGAGTAGTATTCATATTGAGTAATTGTGGAGGAGGAGGAGGAGGAGGAGGAGGAGGAGGAGAAGGAGGAGGAGGCATGTTTTAACATGCCATGCCAGCCCGCACTGGACGGGCACGCAATCGACCTTGGAAGCCGCAGTGGGTCTAAAAACCCTGTTTGGGGATACTGTACTCTGGCTATAATTCCCTCTTCAGGATGGCGGAGATCCAACCTATTTCCAACGCCGTCCTACTTCATGCTTCTACGTCGTTCCTGTCGCACTCGTCTTGTTCCTCCCTCTTGCACGCCAGTCAATCAGCCTTTCGGTCGCCCCGAATAGCCACACGCTGGAGCGGATTGCCTCTGCCTCGTCGCCGACGGAAAACAGTTTCTACGTAGTTCTTCCTACCGACGGTTAGGCGGGGATGGGTTCAGGGGGTGAATACATAGACCCCCAATCGCCCATAGATCGCCGATAAGGAGTCTGATAGCCCCACCCCGTCCAAGAACGTGTGGATTTGCTATCGAGGGCTTTTCGCAGACCCATCGACGATGTTTCCTCCTTCGAGCCAGTCCTCTCCTGTCGTTGCCCCTCAGTGCGGGGGGGGTTAAGAGTGCGGGTCGTCTTGCGCCAGGTCGCGGGGGTTCGGTGCGCGTGGGGGTTGGAGGCTGGGACGGGCCGTCGGGTGGGGCGGCACGGGGGGGGGGGCTTGTCGATTCGGACTCTAGTTTTTGCTGGTTCCTTTAGTCCAATCGCTTCGCTCATTCCGCTGGCTCGTATTGTCCTATCGCAGGCGTTTGCTTGCGCGTTCGTGGCTTCCCAGGGGCCGTTTCGGGGCATCTTGCGGCCTCTTTTTGTGCCTCTTTGGGGTCTCGTGCTGCCTCCAGGGGGCCTCCCGGGCTATCTTGGAGGCCTCTTGAGGCCTCCTGGGGCCTCTTGGGGCGGAAGGCTCGAATTTGTGGTTCATGGTCCCCCTCTTGGGGCCTTCTTGGGGCCCTGTTGGGCGATCTTGGGTGCCTCTGAGGCCGTTGTGGGGCCCTCTTGGACCTTCTTGGGGCCCTCTTGAGGGCCTTTCGGGCTGTCTTGTGGCGGTCTTGGGGGCCTCTGGGGCCATCTTGGGGCTTCGGAAGCCCAAAAACGCAAGAACGCGAACATCTTTGAACATCACAAAGGAATCAATTACGTAGCACCCCGCAGTTGCGGATAAGAGTGAGGGGCGGGCGCGGGCGACGCGGGCGTCGAGCCATTCAGTTAACGTTGTTCGGTTCGTTCAGTGAACGCTCAGTGAACGTAGTTTGGGTCGCGGGTGGGTCGCGGGCTCTCCAC